ATTATCTTAATTATGGAGAGAGTGTGGAATATTTATAAATGTAGAATAAAGTCACCCAGATGATAATATTTCAAATACTCCCCACATTCTTTTTAATTAATAAACCTCCAAGCCATCATCTTTGCAGAAATAACTGCCTTAAGCTCAAAAAAACAATTTTTCAACTTGAAAGTTAATGAAGTTCAACATTTTAAAGCAAAATGTTTTATTACAAATTTCTGTGGTAACAAGAAAATTAGAAAGGTGACCCATGGGAAAAGAGTCCAAACAGCCTGAAGAGAAGAATCCTTCTTAAACTTTAACCCAAATATAAAAGAGGCTTCTTTTTCTGTCTGTACTGCCAGTTAACTGAGGCCCTCTGCTATTATTTATATTATCTGTATAGAACTAAGTGGATTTCTGTGGATACAAATGAAGATGCACCAAAGGAGAATAGTACGAGCCATTACCAGGGTTTTGGTAGAGACAAAAGCAGGATAGGTGTGGGGAAGTTGAGTGGAAATGGGTAGGGATCTCGTGTGCTCTGATTGGAGCTGACTGACGCACTGGGAAACTGGAGGCAAACTAAGTAGATGCTGGACTTCCCATTGGGCACGTGGCCTTCTTTGGTCCTTAGGTGGAAAACAGGTACAAAAAAATTTAAGCTTCTAGTTATTAATCAAGTCCTGACCAATTATTACAGAAGTTACTGTTAACCTTATGGATTATGAGCAGAGGCAGCAATGTGACTTGCTACAAATCTGCTAATTAGAAATTAGAGGTTGGATCAGGTGCCAGCAGCTCATGCCAGAAACTCTAGCTCCTCAGGAGGCTGAGATCTGAGGATCTCAGTTCGAGGTCAGCCCAAGCAGACAAATTTGAGAGCTTTCCATCTCCACTTAACTAGGAAACATCAAAAATGGAGTTGTGGCTCAAGTGGTAGAGTGCTAGCATTAGGCAGGAAAGTTCAGGGAGAATGCCTTGGTCCTGAGTTTAAGCCCCATTACCGGCAAGGCAGGAGAGAAGGAAGAAAAGGGAGGAAGGGAGGATGGGAGGAAGGGAAGAAGGGAAGAAGGGAGGGAAGGGAGGGAATGGATGGATGGGAGGGAAGGGAGGAAGGAAGAGAGGAAGAAAGGAAGGAAGGAAGGAAGAAAGGAAGGAAGGAAGGAAGGAAGGAAGGAAGGAAGGAAGGAAGGAAGGAAGGAAGGAAGGAACTCACCAAACTCCTAGAAAAATAAAATTCGTCCTGACAGTAATACAGTATGGATTTTTTCATGTTACTTGTATTGGCCAAGAAAGAATTACAAACAAAATGTCATTGCTGGTTCTGGAAAAGGGGAGTTCCAGTTCTTTTATTGTGCAACTTTCATTCCTCTTTGAAAATCTGAAAAATATCCACTAGGAGGCAGTATTGCGACTGTAATATGGACTAGCTACCCTCTCCTGGGCATCCACCTTGCCCAGTCACAATGCTTCTCTGGAGATGAGATACCCTATCTTGTCAGTGTACCCAACCATGTCCACCCATACTTCAGTTCCAGAACCTTCTGACTTAACTCTTCAAGTATGAATCCCTGCACAATCCTATCTGCAGTTGAGGGTTTGCTGTCATCATTACTTGTGGCCTTAAAATCAGTGAGCAGAACCTAAAATAGATTGCAAAGCTATGCGCAGAACACCAGCAAGTGAAGGCCATCAACTCCTGGAGGATAGCTTCATGGGTTGGACATACACAGCTCTATTCCTCTCCCTCATCCTCATCTCCCAACCCTCTACAAGCCGAAGATCAGGAAAGGGGGCAGGGGACAGATGTTAGTCGTGCGCCATCACTGAACCATAGACAGCTTCAGCATTCTCCATGGAGGAAGACAGGGGATCACTCGCAGCCCTTGGAAGTGAGAGACAGCTTCTGGGCTCACAGCCGTACAGCTAACAGACAGACCAAGCCTGGGCCCAACCCCTGTGGTACGTCACTGACCCTGGTCTTGCCTAATCATCAGGTGACAACGTGACCGTGAGTTGGTGGTTGGCAGCCCCACTCCCCCACTCCCCATCTGATCCATCTTGTAATATGTCTGAAACTAATTCATCACAAGAACAGCTTGAGGGAATGAGGATCTTGGTGCCTGCGTTTGGCAGAATTGGGCATACTGCACGAAGAAGAGATTAAGATTAGTTCTGTGTCACATGGGCAAGAGCCTCCCCGTAGAGAAAGCACTCACCAGTCTGCGATCAACTAGAAATGGCCACTAAGTCAGCCTCTGAGCCACCTTCTCGTTATCTATCTTATCAACATGAAGTTCCCTCGTGGCCTTGAATGGGCCTAGCCTGTGTACAGCATCCGTGGACCATTCAGTTAGGGAGTAGACATGTTGATCTACCCATTGGCTCGGCCTTTCCAAGGCAGGGAGCTGAGAACTACGATGACAGCGAGGCCCCTATGGAAGGAGACCAGCGATGGTAGGAGGGAAAGCCAGTCCTCTTCACACTTAGCATTCCAAGGAAGCCCGAATTTCACGGGCTTAGGGGGATACTGAATAGAAAGCAGCTCAGGTTGCTCTATCTTGTTCCTGAAACAAGGACATCGCCCTCCAGGGTGGGAGTCCTCAACCACAGAACACAGCAGGCTGCAGCATTGATAGCGAGACATGTCTTGGCTATTGTAAATGATGTCACCATGTACCTGGGGTATCAATGTTCTTGAAAAATGAACACCCATACTGGGGATTTCGCACACAGTCTCCTATTTTCTAGACAAGCTCTCAGCTACTTTGTGAGTCAAATCCTGAAATCATGTCATCTCACAAAACAAGATTCACGATGGCACATGGATCTTTTCATTGTCTTCTCTCGTTTTCTCTTGGAGTATACATGCAAGGTCTTGGCTCAGTTGGGGTACACCACCAAGGGTATGGGTATCAGGAGCTGACCTCCGGGTTTGCTAGTGTAGAGTGAAGGAGACAGCCTCAAGTTGCACACAAATCCAGTGTGAATTAGAAGGTGGGGGATGCATAATCGTTTTTTATACTCCACCAGAGGGCGCCATTCTCACAAAATTCATTATCAGTGGTCCCTTGCCCCCAGGGATTACCCAAAGGGATGCTCCTGAAACTAAGTCATGACTAAAACCAAACCATATACCGGAACTATCCAATTCCTGAGGAAACATTTAAATTGTATTAATATTTAAAGCTTTACTTGGTGTCTGGAGAAGTCAAGGACATTGTCCTTGCTTCTGAATGGGATTAGCTGCATTTTCTGTCCCATTATTTAGTGTGTGTATTCATCACCACTGGATAGGCAATCTCTCTTTAGATGATTTGTTTTGCTGTTAGGATTTATTGCCAACTCTTCCTAGGTGTCTGCAGATAAGAGATCTCATTCCCGTGAATGTTGATTTGGGTGTCCAGCTCAGCTCCCTGAGCTCTTCTCCATGCAGTGGTATAGTTCCCAAGACCCAGGGCTCATCTCCTGGAACTTATTAAAAATACCAATTCTTAGGCCCCAACATTGGCCTACTGAGTCAGAAATTCTAGCAGCAGGACTAGAAGTCTGCTTTTACTACTCTTACAGTTCATTCCATTCCCTTCCAGCTCATTCCATTCCAAGTACCACTCTGGGAGTCACCTTCTTACAATACACAGTTTGTGACCCACTCAAACTCAGTTCTGCTTTCAATCATAACATATTTTTTTGCAATTCCTGGGGCTTGAACTCTGGGCCTGGGCACTGTCCCTCAGCTCTTCAGCTCAAGGCTAGCACTCTACCACTTGAGCCACAGCATCACTTCCAGCCTTTTCTGCTTATGTGGTACTGAGGAATTGAACCCAGGGCTTCATGCATGCTAGGCAAGCACTCTACCACAAAGCCACCTTCTCAGCCCCAGTCACAGAACTTTCTAAACTATAGGTAGCCTGGTTTCCAGGAGCCACAGAGTATTAAAAAAAAAAAAAGGAATCACATAGAACTGGTTGAAGTTCTAGCTTTATAACTTCCAGTCATGTGCCTTCTGACTGTATTGTCTTCTGCAAAGGGAGAGGACCAGGACCTGACTTACAAAACAGCAAAGTAGCAGGTTACCCCTACAGAGAGGCATACAGCAAGTCTTCGTCCTAGTCTCCGCCACAACTGGAATCATTTTCCCAGACTGTGAATATTCAGCTCTTTTCTTACTCCAGTACCATAAGACAAGCCTACATTGTTAGAACTTGCTTTCTGAATGCTCACAAATAGCTCAACATCTTCACGGCAGCAGAGGTATGGGGTTTTGCCATGAATCAGTGGGAACAGCACAGCCCTGAGATCTGACAACTATTTCAAAATCTAGATTGATGAGTATGGGAATTCCTATAAAGCAATAGGTACCAGCTGAGAGCATTTCACTTGTTAAAGTAGCTTCTCTGAGACAGGAGTAGATACTCACTGACACCAGGAAAGCCAAGAATGACAACAGTTGCCTGGAAATTTTAAAGGAAGCTCTTCAAGTTACCTGCCACACACAGGTTTTGTTTTTCTTTAATTATCTGGGTAACTGCTTTGGTTTTTCCACTTGCCTTACCAAGAGACAGAAGAATGAGGGAATTAAAGTACAAGTACTCGTGGAGGCTGCCTGTCAAGTACAGCTTCAGGCTGCCTGTCTCTCACAGCAACTCCCCAATGATACATCAGTAGGTCATTCCTGTCAACACACAAGTCACTGCAAACTAATGAGGCCTTTCTAATTAAGCTGGGTTCCAGCACTTGTGGAATTGGGAGGATTGTTTTTAATGTAATTTAAATGGTCAATCCACACTCAAATTCTCTCACCTAATATATTCAGATCAGATTCCTAATATAAAAATGGGGGAGTGGTTAAAATCAAGACCTTCATATGTGCCAAGGGTACAACTGTTATCTCCAAGATAGTTTTTGACAAGTAGGTGCAAATTCAACCAGAGTTCATCAAACATACTCTGAAATCTTCTGGATGCAGTATTCACAGACAACTATCACTAGAGTTCCTGACAATGGTGAAGAAACTTCAGAGGCAAAAGTCGAGATTAAAGCTGTTGAGAAGTTACAGAAACACCTGGATTTGGAGGAAATGGTGCTTCAGAGGAGGGTGAATATACATAAAGGTCCAAGTCCAAGAACCCAGAGGGTTCACAGACCTTCAGTGTACAGAAACTCTCCACTGGATAACAACAGTGAGTTCAGTCTCCCATTCTACCTCTTTTGTTTCTATGAAAAATCCCAGTATATAAGCTAGTATAGGTCAGATTATGCTACAGTAACAATGCCTAAGTAACTTGTGTGTTTTACAAAACACACAACTTTACTGCTTTCTTAGGATTGTCTCGAGAAATAAAACCACCGGAGATGGTTATCTTAATCTGATGGAAAGACCTGAAAATCAGGGGAATGAGTAGCATACATCTCGAGAGGAGACCACTATCGCAGGTCATTCAGACAGACAGGAGTGAATTCACCTTCTTCTACCTTTTGTTCTACTCAGCCCCCAACTAATCGATGCTATCCATTCAACTGGGCTTCTGTTTTTATCAAGGCCACTAACTCAAATACTAAGATCATCTTTATCCACAGACACAACTAGAAATAAAGTTTAGTCAAACATCTAAGCACTCCATAATCCATGTTCTCAAATAAAGTTAACCACTACATTCACATAATATGATGATGAACAGAGGCTATGGATATGACATTCCTCTCATCTGAACTCCAGGACCGAGGGTGAGAGATGAGCAATGTGGACAGTTATGAACACTTCTGCCTAGAAGTGATGCACGTCTGCCTTGCTCACATTTCCTTGTCCACTTCAAGTTAAATGGCCACACCAGTGTTTACCACCATAGGAAACTCTTCCATAATCACAGATGAAGGAAAAGTAGAATGTCTGGCGAACAGAAATACAGTCTAGGCTAGGCACCGATGGCTCATGCCTGTAATCCAAGCTACTCAGGAGGCTGAAATCTGAGGATTGTGGTTCAAAGCCAGCCTGGGCAGGAAAGTCTCTGCGACTCTTATCTCCAATTAACTACCTGAAAACCGGAATTAGTGCCATGGCTCCAAGTGATAGAGTACTAGTCTTGAGCAAAAAAGAACTCACGGACAGCACCCAGGTCCCTTGATCAAGCCCACAACTGACAAAGAAAGAAATACAGTCTATCATACCAATGTAATTCTAACATAGTCCACAAATCCTCCTCATTCTGCACCTCTGCTCCAGAGATGTCATTGCTCATCTGGCCACCTTTCCACCCCAGCCAGGCAACTTGTCTTCTCCAAGGAGAGTTGGGGAACGTTCTCCTAATTCCCAAAAGTACAGAAAATACCTGGATGGACATTCATGGAAGCCATGAGAACAATAAGGAAAATTATAATGGAGAATAAAAACAATACAGTATCAGATATGAATAACCACATCTCCTGAAGTATGTCTGTAATTCAAACCCCTCCACTGGCATTCTCTCCATGGCTACACCAGACCCCACAGCATTTTTCCCAGCTCTTTCCTAGTCTACCACTTTCTCACCCAGGGACATGTCATCATAATCCTACAATGAAGTAATTCTACCTATAATAATTTCAGCTCGAGGTAATTTTAGTACATGTGGTTCAAGCGTCTTGGGTCTAAATCTACTCAAATAAGAACTCAGTCATGAATGTTTCCTATTTATGTAAGCGAAAACTGTAAGTAGGTGCAACATATTTTCTTCTATTGCGCACAAAAAAAATACATCCATGTGGCATGTCTAGTAAGAATGCATACCTTTAGGGAGTAATCATATAATTAGTTGGGATTTTTATGTAAGTACTTTTTTTGTCATGTCATAAGCAGATTACTTAATCTTTTTGTTGATGGTGGTGATGGTAGTGGTCGTGGGGCTTGAACTTGGGGTCTGAACTGTCCCTTAGCTTTTTTGCTCAAGACTCTTCCTGTAAGCCACAGTACCACTTATTGTTTTCTGGCAGTTAATTGGAGATAAGAGTGTCACAGACTTTCCTGCCTGAGCTGGCTTTGAACTGACATCCTCAGATCTCAGCTTCTTGGGTAGCTAGCCTGCCATTACTTAACGTAGTTATAAAGTACATCTGGGTAAAGTGAAATAGTTGGTTACAGCATTCCTCTTTATTTAGATGTAACTCATTATAAATGAGTGAAGTTATCCTAAAGCACTCATGTATATGGATCTTTGCTTCTGCAAATTTATTTATATAAATAAATCCCTAGTGATAAAATGTCTGGGTTAAAATGATGAATATTATCACCTTGTGCTAAGTGATTTTAGATGTCTATCCCAATTCACCACAAATCCTCTATAATTTTTGCTACAAATTAGGTAATGGTCTTATTTGATACTCATACAGTCCAGTTTAATAAACTAATAATCTGTGAGATATAGGTAATGATGCTTTCTTCTAGGATATGAAAAAAATATGTATTTCCACAAAAAATATTCATGAAAAACTTGACATTGGGATGGGGAAAGCATCTTTTGATATAAAGTCTCTATGTTCCAGAAAGACAGTACATATGCATCATAACACTCTGGTGGCAAGCAATGGAGACGTTTATACTAATGCACACAACAGAGGGGAGATGGCGGGGTCGAGATTAGCCTGATCTCAGAATAAGGAAACCTAACCAAGCAAACCAACCAAATCTCAGAAGCACAGCACTCTAAGCAGCAAAGATGCAGCTTGCAAGTGGAATATTATCCATATCTTCCCATCCGCTCCACCATTTGCTTCCCTCTCCCCTCTGGCTTTGGTTTCTCCTGCTGTTTTCAGTGTCTTTACATAGAGCTCATTTCTAACACCTCTAAAGAGGGATGCTGGAGGACTCGTTTCAGTGTTTTATTCTACCCTGCTGTAGTCACCCTATGGGTGGTGTTCACTTTAGCGTTGTTGGTTCTGAATGTCTGTCATTCGCTTTACCAGTGTATCACCTCAGAGCCAAGTCTATGTGAGCTTGCAAGTTCTCACCTGTCTCTTTTGGAATTCACCCCAACTAGTCTGCTGGAGGGGGGAAGACACGCGCCTTCGATGTACAAACCTCCCATGGATGGCAGACACACAGCCTCTACCGCCCAAATTGATCAGCCTCCTTCTACTCTGAAGACACAAGAGCAGGTGAAGCTCAAGTCAGCTAAGCTCAGCCACAAGACCTGGGGATGTGTGCACTGATACATGTTTACTTAACAAAGAACATGTGGTTCTTTGTTAAGTAGTAATAACTAACAAATAACAAGGATGTTTCTCTTCTATCCTTAGTTTGATGACTCAAAGAATGGTCTGGCCCAACGCATGTCAGGGTCCCATGTATGTCATAAAGTAATCAGATATCTTTTGAGAGAGAGAAAGAGAAAGAGAGAGAGAGAGAGAGAGAGAGAGAGAGAGAGAGAGAGAGAGAGAGAGAAATAGTGTTAGTTTCAGAGGGAAAAACAAAGACTTTTTTGTCTGTTTGTTTTTTGGTGCCAGTCCTGGGGCTTAAACTTGGGACCTGAGTGCTGTCCCTGAGCTTTTTTTGCTCATGGCTAGCACTCTACCAATTGAACCACAGTCAACTCCTGGCCTTTTTTTTTTTTGGTGTGTGGTAGGTTAGTGGATGTAAGAGTCTCGTAGACTTTTCCTGTCTAGGCTGGCTTTGAAATGCCATCCTCAGACTTCAACTTCCTGAGTAGCTAGGGTTACAGGCTTGAGCCACCAGCACCTGGCTAAGACTTTTCTACTTTATAATACACCATGATTTTTTTTCCCAAGAGGCAAATGCTCAGCTTAATTGCAATCTAAAATGGCTTATTTTTCCTAAGCCAAGAATTGAGTTGCTGTAAGGATAACACGGTCTTGTGAGCCACAGTCTCTCTGTGAAGCTCAGGCCAGCCTCTAACTCACAACTCTCCTGTCTCGGCTGCCCAAGAGTTGAAATTGCAGTCATAAACTACCACAGCCAGTTGGTTCTTTATTTTATTTAATAGACAAATTTAAGATACTAGAGTCATCCATCTTTCTGAACCAACATAGAAAGTGAGTTTTGTTAATACTGTAAATAATAAAATCATATGCATAATTTAAATATATGGCATGCCTAGAGAGTAATGTAAGACACAGGGAGAGAAGAGCAAATAAAAAGCAATATTTGTCAAAACTCTGAGAAGCAGCAATATTTCTTTGGATAAACCATATTAAAAAAAGGATATTTGCTATGGAAAAAAATTGCAAAAATTCACCCAAGTACAAGAGTCATAGAACTTTTTCCAAGCATTCAACCCCATCTGAGAAAAGTATCGCCTGTCTTCCCAGGATAGTAAAATCCATTGTCTCACTTCACACATCTAAATGCTGCCCTTAGTCTCTTCCTATCACCATCTGCTTACCTGCACCCGCTCCCGAGTAAAAGATTGGAATAAGTTATCATATGATGCTAACGCAGAGAGTTCAGGCAAACAGTTAGTTGGAGAAAATGTAAAAGAAAATGAACTAGAAGAAAGTAACGTAAAGGACAACAAAACAGTGAGGTGAGAACAGAGAGGGTAAATCCCAGCCGAGAAGTAGTGTCGTTCTCACCGACTTCAAATGCGTAGGAAGAGCCCTGGCAGGAGCAAGTAGCATGGGGGAATACCAATGAATCTATCCCAGGTTGTTATTGTTTGGATATAAAATGGCCCCAAAGCTTTAGGGGTTGAAGACTTCATCTCAGCCATTGGTGCTGCTGAGATGTGATTAGATCATAAGTGCACAGCTGAGCTGTTAGGTAGTCTGGTTGTAGGATACAGGTCACAAAGAGCATGACTTTGAAGATTATATTCTCTCTCTCTCTCTCTTTCTCTCTCTTTCTCTCTTTCTCTCTCTTTCTCTCTCCTCTCTTTCTTCTCTTTCCCTCTGCTCCCCCCTAGAAGGGAGTTGAAACAAAATGAAGAGTTAAATCTGGGGACTCTACAATTTTGCTGCAAATACTTGTTTATTTGTTTTGGTCAGTCCTGGGCTTGAACTCAGGGCCTGGGTGCTGTGCCTGAACTGTTTTGTTCAAGGTTGGCACTCTACCACTTTGAGCCGAAGTGCCACTTTCAGTTTTCTGGTGGTTAACTGGAGACAAGAGTCTCACACATTTTGGGGGGGAGGGAGGCTGGGCTGGTTTTGAACCTCAATCCTCAGATCTCAGCCTCCCAAGTAGATAGGTTTACAGGTATGAGTCACCAGCACCAGGCTGTTAAAGATGTTTACAAGTAATGTCTTTATTAACTATCAAAATACGTTAATCCAACTTTTGATATTTAAAGTAGAAAATGATAGTAAGCACAACAATCTCCTCCCTTCTTTCTCCTTGCTGTAGTTCTTTTTATGTTTTTGGTGGTACTGCTTACACCTAGGAGCTTAGGCATTCAGAGTTCATGCTCCAGTCTCAGCTCTTCATTCCACTGTTGAGTACTCACTCTGCCGAGTCAAATACCCAAAATGCTGTTCTCACATGGGTCATGACTTCAGGCTCTCAGTCAGCACTTGGCATCAGCAATTCTAGCTGGTGGACAATGCTACATTCATTAGAGATACCAAGCAGGCTGGCTTTCTCCTGCTTAGGAGAAGCCCACTTCATGCTCCATATGATTGAAATACGTCAATTATGGGTATGCTTTGAAAGAAGATACAATCCGATTCCATGAGAGAGCTGGAAGGCGAACTACAGGCAAGCCAAAAAAAGGAAATGTAGGAGAATGAGAAGAGACTTAAAGAAAATGGAGCTGTAGTGTTGTGTGAAAGGAGAGAAGGCTAGCACTCCTCTTGACAAGGACGGATGGAAGAGGCCCTTGGGCCGGACGCCATGCATACTGTGAAGGCATTGCCACCTACTTCCTGGCATCCAACCATTGTTTTTGTAAGCCAGTCCTAAAGAAACATAGGCCCCATGGTTTCCCTTATTTGCAATAATTAGTATACATCTAGGATAATCTTGTCAGAAAAGCTCAAAAGCTATGTACATATGACCATAGAAGATGCTGCTAAGTGAAATGAACCCCGAAATATGGACACAAGAGGTTTTTCTTTGTTGTTTTTAACATACTATGTGATTTTTTTTCCTTGTGTCTTTTGTATGTTCTTCCTCCTATGGTATATCCCTGTTGTCACTGTATTTGATGTGGTACCCTGCATCTTGTATACACATTTATCTAATTGGGGAATAACAAAATGTTGAAACAAGGACACAGGATGATGCACTGCAACAATGAGACTCACAAGACACTATGTTGGAGATGAACCTTACAACTTTGGGGAGGGGATGTGGGAGAGGAAGGGGAGGAACGGATAGTGGGAAAAAAAGCAGGGGGTAACAATGCCCACAAGAAACGTACTCATTACCTTACTGATGTAACTGTAACCTCTTTGTACAGCATCTTTACAAGAAAATAATTTTTTTAATCACAGAAGAGAAAAGAGAGCTGTACAGTTGCAAGGACAGGAAGTCACCTACCCAACAAGTTTTCTAAGTGCTACTGTGACAAAGTATCACATGTTGGGAGGCTTAACCAACAGAAATTCATTGTTTCCTATTTCTGGGGATTGAAAGTCCAGAATCAAGATGTCCACAGCCCTGATTCCTTCAGAAGGAGACGCTAGTCCAGGACAATCCCTTAACTTCTGGCAATCTTAGCCATTCCTTGCTTGGCTTGTAGATGTAGCATTATACTACCTGCTTTCATATACATTTAGTGTTCTCCTATGTGAGTGATTTTGCCTCCAAACTTCCCCAATTTTGTAAGGAGACCAGTTATATTTGAAGATGAATTTGAAGATGACATAATACACCTCTAACAGATACAAAATCCCTAGAGATGTCTAGGTCCTATAGTGGCCTCTGGCCACACATAGCTTCTGATTACTTACTTAAGATGAGTTTTAACCAAGATGATCCATGAGTATAAAACACATAGCAGATTTCACACACTAACCAAAAAGATCGCTCAGTAGCTCCATCATTTGTAATATGATGCTAAAAAGTGTTAGGGCTATATTAGGCTAAGAAAAACATATACCTATGCTCAGATAACTTCACTCCATTGTTGTTGTTTTACTTTTGAAAGTGTAGTGTCTAATAATATTTCACACGTGTGTTATCAATTTTCCTTGCGGTGACAAGTATCAGAGGCGAACAGAAGGAGGAACGGGATTGGGGGCTGGCAGCTGCAGCTGCTACCGGTTTCAGAGGTGCACACATCCATGATTCCTTGGCCACCTCAATGCCTTGGGGCCTGTGGTGAGGCAGAGCACCATGGGAGAGCGCTGTGTGGAAGAAACCTGCACATCTCATGCATCCCAGAAGCAGACAGAGAGGAGGAAGGACCATCATCCCAATATCCCCTTCCAGAACTCATCCCCCAGCACCTAACTTCTTCCCACTAAGCCCCACCTACCCAAGGTCCAGATACCTCTTAATAGCACACCACACTGGTGACTAAGGCTTTGACATACGGCTTCTGGGGACCATTCATTATAACACACAACTTACACATGTGGCTCACTTTATGTGAGTATTGGACAACATTCATCTAGAACTGGGAATTTACTGAGGCCCTTGACTCCTGAACGCTTTGTGAGAACAGTTTCTGAAGGTGCAACCTGTGTGAGCTACTCAAAACATTAAAGACATTAAATAAGTAGCAAATAGATTTGACGGATAAAAATCACACTTCATGAGATCTGAGGATCGTGGTTCAAAGCCAACCCCAGGCTGGAATGCTCATGAGACTCTTATCTCCAATTAACCACCAGAAAACCATAAATGGTGCTGTGGCTCAAAGTAGTATAGCACTAGCCTTGAGCTGAAGAGCTTGGGACAGCGCCCAGGCCCAGAGTTCAAGCCCCACAACCAACAACAACAAGAACAACAACAACAACAAAATCACACTTCATTTCTATTACTAAGAATTCAGCTTAGAATTCGGTATCCTATTACAAGATGGGTTTCTATTTAAAGCAATCACTTTGCCACTTACCTCGTATGGGAAAAATGAGGGGATGAATCCTTACAATTTCTATTAACAATTACATTTGGATAATACCAGCACCAATGTTTTCCAAATGAGGTTTTGCACATGCCTCATACAGACCAGAAGCGAGAAACCTTTTTACTTCTACCAACAGTCATTTGGATATTATTAATACCACTGATAGGCCATCTACATTATCCATTTTAATGAACTCACCTCTGTTGTGCAGACTGGGATTCCTCCTCTCTGGTGAGGTGTGTGGCGTTCGCAGGTCTCCATAGTTGACTCCTCGCACTGGTAAGTTTTGTAGAGAACTGTTTGGAGCAGCAAGTTGTTCAAAACATAGATGCACATTTTATTTCATATCTCCTCAGAGTGAGACATTCATCGCTACTAATGTAATGCTTATAGTTTTCAGGCAGGGTTGTTGTACCTGGCTTTCAGCTCCTCGTTGCTTTGCAGTTGAATGATTTCACATTGTAGGTGAGCAGACGTATCAGCTGGCTCCACATTGAAGAGTGTTCAATTCTATTTGTTTACTTTTCCGATCCTTGCCTCATTAAATGTCTCAGTTACTGTCACACATTCACACTCGAGTGTTGTAGAAGGCTTTTGTCCTTCCCCGGCTAAGTCTGAGTTGCACTTTCCATGGCTCTAATTTACCTTCAAATGATTTCACATTTGAAAGCAAGGAGCTGAGACGCAAGTTAAGCCCTACAGCTTGACGTTCAGTTCTGAAAGGGGTTGGAATTGGCCACCATCAACACCAAATCTCATGGAATTCCCAGACTGGTCTCCTTCATCTCTATAAACTGCTTGACTCCATTCCATCGTTCATAAAACCTCAAGAGCCAACGTCCTGCCACTCAGCCTCTACCCTTCATGGTGGTAAACAAGATCACCGTGCTCAGAGTCAAGATCACTCAGTAACTCCTTAAACCAGCGGCTATTAAAATCGCCTGCTTTTGACAAGATTTATGCATACTGTTATCACATTGTTGAGCACACTGCCTGTAGTGACATTTTCAGTGTGTAATGCAGTGGCAAATAATAAAATCCGTCAGATCAAAACTTAGATCATTTAGTTCTTTCTCGATGAGTGCAAGTCACACTTTTTGCAAGCCAATCAGTGCTAAAGCCCCATCTGCAGTAAGATCATTTAGCTTTTCCCATGCTAGCTCAACTGTTTTCCCTGTAAAGTCTCCAAACAAGTTCTCACCCATTCTTGTGCTATGGTGTCCAGTGACAGCAGTCCCTCTCTCCTGTCAAACTCGGAAGTATCCCAGGAATGAAAGCCGCCAGTTGGGCAGTATATGAAACTGGGAGGCGGGATGGGGATTGGGGCAGGGTGGGCGGAGGGAGAAGGGATTTCCTGTCGAATCCTTCCAGGTTCTTTTCATTATGGTGCTGATCAGCTCTGAGACGGCACTCTGAAACAAGCTAACACTCAGACCCTTGTAATTTTTGGCTAACAACTCTGTAGTAACCACCACGCAGCTTTGCAAAGTCTCCTTCTGCGTGAGGCCTCCGCTTCTGTGTGATGAGCTCACTCCCTACACAACTCACCTGTGGAACATTGCCTCTGTCACGAGGTCTGGTGAAAGCAGCTGAACATCACTGACTTTTACCCAGACACACGTGCTTCCCAGTTCACAGAGCTTGCTTAGCATACTTGGAGCTGTAGGGATGCTCCGGCGTGGCTTTTTCTGTTACTGCTAATGCATGACCACAGATGGCACACACGGGTTTGCCCGTGGCTTTTATCCATTTCTATTGAAATGATCCACACTCTACATCAATCTTTCTTCTCTTTGTGTCAGCCCTTGGTAGGATGTCCCACCTCTTCAGTTTTAACAATGATCCTGTGTGTGTGTGTGTGTAGTTATTTTGCTTTGATGGCCACTGCAAATGCCACTTGTGGATATGGAACATAGTCAATGTTGTACCAGGGACTCTTGAGGTCTTTTGTGTGTACTGTAATTTCCTTAATCTGAGAATCTGTTTTCACAATGATTGTTGATAGGGAACATGTGGCTAAAAGGTGGTTGGAGTTATCATTTGAATCAGTAAAGTGGACAACAGAATCATCCATTTTGAGAAGCAAGGTTGGCAGCATCCCAAAGAATCATCTCCCTGGCCCTGGCTCCACCCTGGTTCCACTAGACCATTGTGCATTCACCATGTTGTGTGAACACTTCTGCAACATGGACATGACCAGCCTTCCCTGGCACCCTCCCAAATCACTACAACACAGGAAGACAAGCCGCGGGGCAGCTGACAAGAAACACACACTTCCAGCCTGTCAGGTACTCATCTGGATGTCCTGTCTATCCCATAAGAGACTCTTGTCCCTCAAAATGCACACACTTTCTCATTTATTTCACATACATCTGTGTTGTTATGATAAATCTTCCAGGTTTATTGATTTTTGAGTGGTTACATTGGCAGGGCCAGGCCAAATGATTTTGAGTGTCTTACATACAAGGCTGGACCTTTCCCAGCCCTGACACTGCTAAATCCTGTACGCTCCAGTGAAATCACACAAATATGGGTGTGTTGTGCTTTGTGAGATGCACTGGATATAAATGCTCTGACCTTGTTTACAATGGTGACATTAATCTGCCATTCCATTTGGACTGATGACTCATTAGCTGCCCTTCCCCTCACCAACAGCTCTGACTTACAGCTGGAGCCTCTGGATGTGATCGTAGGCAGTGGTGTGCTGCCATCTACGGACAGAAAGAAATAAATAAGATGCTGTGCCCAGCAAGGTCCCACAACACTGTTAACTATCGGGAGAATTCCAGTGCAAAATCCTATCAATCATGATAATGATCATAATTAGTAATTGAGGAAAAAAAGTACATTTCCAGGGATGCAACTCTGGCCCTTTCCTCTTATTAAAATTATTGCAAGTCATTGATTCATGTGCAAGAAAAAGAAAAGCTAAATGAACCAAGCTATAAACCAATCAGCTACAAAGCCTTAACCTACTTATTCTTGATGGGACACATGCGAAAATTTCCACGATACTGGTAATGCAAATATTGCAAGATCTTTTCTCAATGAGCTCTTCGATTACATTTTGTCAAATTCACATTAGAATTCTCTCTCTCTCTCTCTCTCTCTTTCTCTCTCTCTCTCTCTCTCTTTTCCTCTCTGCCTCTGGCAATCTTTCTCTTGTCTATAAGTCTATGGTGTGTTGTAATCGCATCCTCAGTCTACCCAATCCAAAGATGCTTTCTCATCAATAAATAGGTTTTCAAGTTCTAGCCATTTCCCAACAGAATTGTTTCCAGAAATGGCTGAGTATTTTTGTCATGATATATGAGGATACAGATATATATTTCATCCAGATATTTTGTGATTATTCCTTATAAATAGAAGACTGTTCATTATATGTGTGTTTTATATATTTATGTGTATATAAAATGACATTTTCTATTCATTAGAAATATATATTCATCAGATAGAGAGAGAGAGATCAGTAATATATATGGGCAGTTTTTTTAAAGTAGTATGTGATAAATTAATGCAAAAAAATAAAGATTAACCAGAAAGTAAACTTAAAGTCAGTTGAAATCATGTAAAACCACATTGTTGCCAGTACTACTGGTTCATCCCAATAATCAGCTATTCAGGACACTGAGATCTGAAGATCATAGTTCAAAGCCTGCTGGAGCAAGAAAGTCCATGAGACTCTTTACCAAAAAGCTGGAAGTGGAGCTGGGACCCAAGTGGTAGAGAATTAGCCTTGAGCAAAAAAAAGCTCAGGAACAGTGTGCAGGTCCTGAGTTCAAATCCCAGGACCTACATACACACACACACACATACACACAAAACCTACCACATTGCTCTCTAAAGTCCAAGTAGTGAGAAATGGATCTCAAATCTCTGTGCTCATGGAAGCAGTAACAGGAGAAGCATTGCAGTCCCCAGCAGCTGACGCTAGGGATTCACTCCTCCTACTTCTCAGGCCTTTCCTCCTTCTCAATGGCTTTTCTCCTACAATCTCATAAAGAGGACTCAGATTACTACAAAGAGGCTACTGTGATCTTCACTAGACCATGACCTAAACAATCTGACCCTTCAAACAAAAGCACTGCAGTATCTGTTTTCCAGTCTTGGAGTAGGGGGGTGGGGGACTGGACTCAATCTTTTTTTTTTTTTTTTTCTGCAATAGCACGTTTTCTACAACTTGGATTTACAAATAGCTTACTTGGTCCCTGAGGGGGCGGGAGGGATTCTAGAAATCTCAGCTAATTAGCCCACAAGATGAACTTGTCTATAACCCAGTCTCTTTCTCCTGTGGTCATGAACTTCATGATCAATTCTCCTCAGCCCCTAAAAGACCAAACCATACCCCTTCCTTTTCACAAAAGGGAGAACTCAAGCTTGTATATATTCTGATCATCACCTGGAATCCTTCTGCATTCTCAGGAGGTGTTTCCATGGAGACAGGAAGCAGGCAGGTGCAGTTAGTCTTCCTACAGAGACTTCTCAAGGTGTGTACCAGGTGTGCCGCCTACAAATGGACATAAACCTCTCCCTGAAAGAACATAGTAGCTAATGGACAATGGGCACTGATGATGCTTGCAGAACATTGCAGTATACTTAATGTCAATGAATTGTATACTTAAAGGATGGAAACGGTAAATAACCGACGTCTGACAATGCTGCTGCTCCACCCAGACTCACGCTCTCCAGTGTACAAACATAGACTTTGTTCCTTGCCCTGAAGTCAGGTGCTTTTATAGCTTTGGATTAACTGACCCCTGTAGCATTCACACAAGTGGCACCAATATGGCGTCCCCTGGGGTGCCACGACTTGCAAGACAGGCTCTCTGCCCGGCCACTCTCCCACCTCAGTCTCCCTCACTGACAACTCTACCATTTTGATTCTTCCAATAGGAAGCAAGATTTCAAGCTTTCTACAGAGCCACATTCCAAATTGTTCCAAAAGCACATCCCTTTCACCAGGAGCGGTTTTCTTCTCGTCTCTCAGAGCAGCAGTGGGGGACTTACTAGTTTCTGCTGGACAGGCACGTTCAGCCAGGATTAAGATGTTGGCAGCCCCTTACACAACCCCATCCTCATGAGGGGTTCTCTTGGGGTTCCATTACTGGATATATAGGAACAGAAGTCCCCTCTCCTGCCTGTCCAGGTCTCTACTCATACTCTTTGAAAGAATGTAGACTTTCAGGGCCAGGAGGGTGGCTCCATGGTAGAGCATTTGCCTTGCATGCATGAGACCCTGGGTTCGATTCCTCAGCAACACATAAGCAGAAAAAGCTGGAAGTGGCACAGTGGCTCATGTGGTAGAGTGCTAGCCTCGAGCTGCAGAGCTGAGGAACAGCACCCAGGCCCAGAGTTCAGGCCCCATAACAGACAAAACAAACAAACAAACAAAGATTGTAGACTTTCAATGAATTGTGAACTTTCTCATATATAGGCTAGATTAATCTAGCTTAAAGAGTAATTTGCAAATCCTATATATGTGGGGAGAGGGGCTAAGTATGGGGGTGTCTTTGTTGATATCTCTCTTTAATATGTGAGATACTTGTCTCCCATTGTCCTAAGTGTGAGGTTTGAACTGAAAAAAATCCAAGACAGCAAAACCCCTTTACAATATACAGTTATACAATAACATTCTCTTTGATGTATCAGTGGTAGACATTCTGTTTCCCACTCTCCAGTAGAACATTCTACAATAATGGAGTGTTCTATATGTCCTGTAGAAAAACTGCCACTTCGTCACAGAGTAGGCTAGTGATACTGAGAAATGATGTTTGTAATATCAAATTATCATGATGGAAATGGAAATAGCTCCATGTGTCTGTCCAGTTTGGACTATACTGAATGTCACTGTTCCACATAATAAGATGAATACACACTCTTGGCGTGTAGTACCGTGCAGGCCTTCTGAAAGGAACTCTTCCACACATTCATTCTTCCATGATTACATTACATCAGATTGATATTTTTTCCTGTTTTCATTTGATTTGGTCAGAAATGCTTTTCAACATTTAATTGTCAGACCAAAACTCTCTTCAAATCCCAGCTTCCCAGTGAGCCCTTGCGTGGACACGTTTGCTTGCAGCTGCAGCCACCGTTCCTCCTGAGTGCTCATTCCTTCTGTCACTTTTGACCATCTGCAATACCACGTGTTTTATGGTTCTATTAATTGCCCATTGATCCCAATTAAAACATAAAACAGGGAAGGCAGATGTTCCTGTCTCCCTTTCTCTAAAGATAAAACGCAGTACGCAGTTCCTCCTGAGATTTTTTTTTATGAATTAACGAACGAGTAGCTCTCTGTAGGGGGTCAGAATCTGTCCATGGAAAGCCCTTCTGGCCTTATGAATTTTATAGAGTGAAGGGTGGCTCAGAGGCTGAGTCTGAACTCTAATCCAGAAAGAAAAAAAAAAAAAGGAGTAGGGAGAAGGGAGAAGAGGTGGTGAGCTGGATGCAGCATGTGTTGGGTGGCCTGGAGAATTTCCCCATGGGAAAGGAAGCTCTTCACACAGGTCTTCACCTGAAATTCTCTATAGTACTGTGACATCAATATAGTATTTTCCAAATGTTCAACAAAGTATAATAGACTCATAAAACCCTAGGGCCAAGGTACATTCTTACAGCCTTGACACTAGTTGGGTTGAATGGTTCCATCAACAAGGTAATAAACCCAAAGCAACACAAGCTATCCACTGGGCAAATTTGACAGAGGCAGACCCCACAGATAGAATGGCCAGGAGATGCTAAGCTAGTCATGCCACACTAATCAGTATGTTTATACGCCTGCTGCCAGCACGTATTAAGTGTGTGTGTGTGTGTGTGTGTGTGTGTGTGTGTGTGTGTGTGTGTGCGCGCGTGCATACCTATGTTGGATTTTCACAGGGCAGGAATAGAAATTTGGGCTGGTCTTCTGTTTGCTCTCAAGGGCCAGAAGAAACAATATGAAAAAAAAAAAGACATGTAAGGCTAGGCAACAGTAGCTCAGGCCTGTAATCCTAGCTACTCAGGATGCTGAGAGCTGAAGATCATGGTTCAAAGCCAGTCCAGTCAGGAAAGTCTGTGAAACTTTTATCTTCAATAAACTACTCACTTTCTGAGCTGTGCCTCAAGTGGAACAGAGTGCTAGCCTTGAGCAAAAGAAGCTCAGGGATAGCATCTAGGCCCTGAGTTCCAGGACTGCCCCTCCTCCCCTCCCAAAAAGACATGTAAGGAAACTATGTGTGAGAAAATAGTTTTCTATGATCCATACTGTCATTAAGTATCAAAACAAACCTTCAAAATTAAGTCTGTCGATAAAGTCAGATCCATGAACTTTCTTTTTAGCACATAGTAATTGTATAGATACGGTTTTATCATGTTTTCATACATGTAAATAATGTAATTTGGTCATGTTTATAGCCCCATCTCCCCCTCTCCGTGCCCCTTATAACCTGTTGATCTCTTTCACATTTTCAAATAGTCCCTCTTTTACTTTCATTCCATTTTTAGTTTTCATATAGGAGTAAAAAAAATATGGTATTTGTCTTTTCCAGTCTGGCTTTTGTTCAGTTAACATGCTGAGCTCCATTCCATCCATTTTCCCACAAATGGCATAATTTCATTTTTCTTTATGGCTCAATACGTCTCCACTGTGTATAAAACACTTATCTATTGATCCACTGATTCTGAAACTTGGCTACTGTGAATATTTTACAACAAACATGAGTGTGCAGGTCACTCTACACTCACAAATGACACACTAGATCACCTGCCTTTTTTTTTACAGTAAGTTTTTTATTGTGAAAATACTGTACAGAGGGGTTACAGTTACGTGAGCAAGGTAAGGAGTACATTTCTTATCAAGCATTGTTGTCTCCTCCTTTGTTTTTCCCCTACCATCCCTTCCCTCCCACCTCAACTATACTCCCCCCACCCCTCCACCCCACCCCTCTGCGTAAATTGTAAAGTTCATTTTTCAACATGGCGTCCTGTACATCTCATTGTTGCAATGGGTCAACAATGAGAAGAGCCCGGGTGAAATCACATACCTTTTATAGTTGCTGTTTTGAAAGTACGTGGACTAATTTACATTCCCCCCAGCAATGTAGGAGAGTTCTCTCTTACCTCCTTACCGGCATCTGTTGCTTCTTGATGATGGCTACTCTGGCTGGAATGAGATGGAATCTGTCATTTTGATTTGCATTTCCTTCGTGGCTAAGGATGTGGAACATGTCTTCACACACTTATCGGTCATGTGTTCATTCCTCCTCTAATAAAAGGCCTTAGATTTGTGACTGGGTCATTGCCTCTCCAATTCTTTAGTTCTTACTCTTACTTATTCAAGTATGCTACCACTAACTGCCCTCCTAAATCCTGATGGACATAAGACCTGTCTATTAAATAATATGATCCAGCCAATTTCTCCTGCCTTATCTTAACCCCATGCTCCAATCCGCAGTGTTGTCAAATTTCAAACTCTACCTTGACTCCACATTAAGCCTCGATTCCTCATGCTACTTATCTGTTCCGCCAAAGCAAAACACCCTGAGCTGGTCTTCTAGGAATGTTCTAGATTTCTCATCAGATTAAATTTTCTACAGATTGCAGAAACGGGTCCCTCAAACATCAGAGATGTTCTAAAAACCAGAGGAAAAGCTCAAGACAAGGCCAAAGCATGTGGAAGAAAAAAAAAAAAAAAACTTTTTTAAAGAAAACATGCTAGGGGCTGGGAAGGTGGCTCGGTGGTAGAGCGCTTGCCTTGTATGCATGATGGCCTGGGTTCGATTCCTCAGCACCACATAAACAGAAAAAGCCAGCAGTGAGGCTGTGGCTCAAGTGGAAAAGTGCTAGCCTTGAGATGAAGAGCTGAGGGACAGCACCCAGGCCCAGAGTTCAGGCCCCATGACCGACAAAAAGAAAGAAAGAAAGAAAGAAAGAAAGAAAGAAAGAAAGAAAGAAAGAAAGAAAGAAAGAAAGAAAGAAAGAAAGAAAGAAAGAAAGAAAGAAAGAAAGAAAGAAAGGAAGAAAGAGAGAAAGAAAGAAAGAAAGAAAACATGCTAAAGATACTAACATAGTCCTGTATATTTAAAGCTGCCATTTAAATTAGAGTAACTAATGTATAAGCAAGCTTTTTTCACAAAGGAAAATTGAGATGAAAGCAGTCAATAGCAAAAAAAAAAAAAAAAAAGCTATTTTCTTAGGTAGATCAAAGAAGTCTTTCTTTAGAAAGATCAAACTACAGTGGATATTTTAATATTTAATCATGTTCTAGTACAAGTAACAGGCCCTCCTTGAACCAAATCAATATCACATCAGCAACTTACATATCAAAATGTTAATTAGATATTTACGTCCTGTCTCTTGAAGTGGGAAATTAACTGTTTAGGAAACAGCTGACTTTCTAAACTGTGATGAAATTGAAATTAAGAAGGAAAAAAGTAGAAAAGATCAAAATGTTTAAATGAAAATGTGCTCTACTCAATTATTAAAATCTTATGTCTCATCTCTTCATCTGTGTCTGAAGAACAATATTGTTGGAGATGGAGAAAAACAAATATTCTCAGATAATAGTTTTAAAGTTGAACCTATGCTCCCTCAAGGTGGAATGTGAAGATGGAGGACTAGACCATACCTTTCACAGGGACTAGTAACTGTCCCCCCCCCCCCCAGCCCCCCCCACCCCGCTGCCAGTCTTAGGGCTTGAGGCCAGGGCTTAGGCGCTGTCCCTGAGCTTTTAGCTCAAGGTTAGTGCTCTACTACTTAAGCCACAGCTCTACTTCCAGGTTTTGGGTGGTTAACTGGAGATACAAGTCTCACAAACTTTCCGGCCTGTTGCTGGCTTGGAATTATGGTCCTCAAATCTCAGCCTCCTGAGTAGACAGGATTACAGGAGTGAGCTACCATGACCAGCTGGGACAAGCAAGTTTTGTTGTTTCACTTGCAAACTTCTTAAATGTAGCAGATTCATCGCCTCCACGAAATTCCTGTCCACATGGATCCCTAACACTGTAGGCAGAGTTCTTCCCTTAACGCCATCACTTTATATGACTGACACTGCCTTGCCGTAATTCTCTCTCCCTCCCTCTCTCTTTCTCGGCATTCTCTACCCTCATGCTACTGAGTAGAAGGGGAAGGCTAGGCAGTGCTATGCTGCTTACGGGAAACTCTCTGTGGAAACCAGGAATAGGGCAAATTATTTCTGTCCTGCAACAGGAAGCAAACTGTTCTAATTGGTCAACTGGCCTACTGTGGAATTTGCCAATTGGCTCTCACCTTAAGCATCAGCAAATGAAGGGATTTTTTTGTTTTGTTTCATTTTCCATTACTTCATTTCTCTTAATTGTTCATCATGTAGGGAGCACTTTTGGGCAGGTTGAAGATTAAGAACAGAATCTGAAAGGAACAGATGTGATTAGGAATCATGCTGTCTCAGGATGATTCAGACACTGGGTGACATTAGGCCCAGTGTCAAGTCTAAAGTAACTCAGCATTAATGATTACCACAGCATTTGTTCCACCTGTTTTGTAAACATGCCTATGTTCAGCCATTAAAAAAGTCCTCTCAGGGACATTTATGTTCCCAGAACATGGGGCCTGTGGTAGAAGCTCAATGGTACCAGAGGGAAGGAAATGACACAGATAATACCTGCCAATGTCTCCTCTGTGCAATCTATTACCTACGACCTTCAAACCCATCCGGCATAAGTACCACTTCTTCTTTCCCACCTCTGTGGAAAACAAGTTGTTTTTTAAAGTGCAGACAACCACACACTGAATCACTGCTCAAAACACTGAATCACTGCTCAAAACACTGAATCACTGCTCATAGCTTTAACACGAGCCTTGAGGAGACTGGAATGTAACCTGACAGTTGACTCCACAGACATACCTTTAAAAAATCAGTGGCTGACAGAAATGCCGTCACTTAAAACTCCCTCAATCCAAAGACAAAAATTAAGCAAATAAGGTGAAAGGCTATAATCTGTACATCCTAAAACACTGGGGAATACTGAGTGGGGGAGGGGTGATAATCAAAGTTTCTCCCTTATCAATGTCCTAGTCTGACTTCTGAGAATTGATCACACGGCTAGAATTAGCAAATGTATGAGGTGGTAAATGGAATACATAACTCTAGCTGATTAGAAGCAATTTAAGAAAAATTTTATTTAAGTGACAACTTATCATCAACATTTAATAGTTTCGATACATTTGATAAGCAGATTAGGAAATGTGTAAATTAAATACTATGAAAGTAATTTTCGTGAAACATGATTTTAATCAGACATGGATATATAAGTTTAGTGGTTTTATTGCAGTAACAAAATATTATGAAAGGTACAAAAACATTAATGTTATTTATTTTACAATCAGGATGACATCTTTTTGCCATTATGGCTTTCAATTTCATTCTCTCCAACAAGTTTCAAGGAAATAGTTTATTACATGCCTTAATAAAGCATTTAAAATATTTACAAGTTCAAAATAGATGTTTTTCATAACTGAAAAAGTTCACCTGAGAATTCTTTGTCACATTGCCATTTGTTTCTGGGTTGTTTTTTTTTTTTTTCCAAGTTGTTGATGTGCTGAGTGTCCGGACACAATCTATATCATCCACTTCCTCAAATATATTTCATCTTTATCCTAAATTAGCTAAGCTATGATAACTTGTTACAAAACTTATAGATGGAGATCCAATATTATAATATGCATTTGTTTTGCCTATCACAACTTAACAAATTATTTGCTGCAACTTTGATCTTCAAGTAAGGGAAAGTTTCAAAGTAAAGTTATTTTACTGAGTCAGACATATCAGCTTCATAAATGTCATCACACACTGAGAAGACTGAAGTTCATAGGACAAAGGACAATGATCATGTCAATATGAGATACACAAGCTGAAACTTCAAATTTCTGCATGAAGGAAAGGCATACATTGTATACACAGAATCCTATCATTTGTCTTCAGCAGCCTCAAAAAAAATATTACCTGGGAGCACATTTTCTTAGAAAAAAAGAACTTCTTTAGAAGTTAATGTTAAAATAGGCATAAATGTAATGCTATGCAATATATAAAAGATGTCCCTGCCTTATGGTCAAGAGACAAACTTTCTTTTGTCCATCTATATTACAACTTGAAAGTCATGAAGGTATGAGGTAGTGTAGTTACTTGTATTACATGCTGGCTATTAAAACTAATGCTAAATTTTAAGCAATATTACACTTGGCCAATGATCAGATGCCATTAAACCCTTAATGCTAATGTTTGTAGGTAGAGAGACATTTTAAACCAAGTGCTTTAAAAACTATGGACTGTGGAAACAGCTAGATTTATCACAAAATAGTCACTTTTCAAAGCAAATATTTACACTTGCAATTAAAGCAAAAGCTTTGACACTTGTACATACACAAACTGATGACAGACAGTTGAGTGTCCTCTGAGGTAGGAAATTAAGAATTCCATTGGTTTGGAGATTTTACAGTTTGTAAACCACAGAAGTTTTTGTTGTTGTTGTTGAATATTATTTCATATTGTGAAGGTGAAATTTACATGAAAGAAGTAACTGGGGGGTGGGAGGGACATGACAACAACTCTTCCGTAATTCAGGATGCATCTCACAGAAAGATCAGTCTCCCTGAAAAAACAACGAACGTAGTGGTGAAAGCTTCTAGAAAAGAATCACAATGAATTTCCCCTTCCACCAAAGTCAGCAATGAAGATGACACACAAACAGCGGAAATAAACAAGTACAGTCTTCCCTCCGGCCCGCCGTGCACCCCAAAGCAAAGGACAGACAACATGTGACACGCTATGTTGAAAGACAGTCTGGTCCCCAAAGGTCTCAAAGCGAAGGTCTACTTGCTTCCCACTGGCTCCCACACTGTGACGGGCGGTGCCTCCAGAGCCAGACCCTGCACTACGGATGCAGTCTCTTCCCAGCACTGGACCGGATTAAGTGAAGTACTTCCTATTCAGAATACCATCAAGCACTCCTTTGTACCATTCAAAACTGGGTTCCTTCGACATGCATACAGGCTGAGTTGCCCTAATCTGAAATGCTTAGGACCAGAAGGTTTTTGGAGATTTCCATATACACAATGAAATATCTTAGAGCTGACACCTAAGTCTCTTAACATCAAGTTCATCTAAATGGGTTTCATATGTCACTTGCCCATGTACCTAAAGTAATTCAAATATTTTTAGGGGGTGCCTGTGTTTGGGCTACAGCCTGTCACCTGATCATGTGACCTATGGTCACTTGGGGTGATTTGTCAGTACTCCAAAAGTTTCAGATTATGAAGCATTTCAGATTTGTCTACTAGGGATACTGAACCTGTATTTATAGTTTCTTCTTCTTCTTCTTTTTTCTTCTTCTTTTTTAGAATTGCTGTAGTCCAATAGCTTTTCCTTGCCTCTCGATTATGTCGTGTTTCAGCAGCTAGAGTCACTGCCATGCATTATTGGGTAAGTACTCAGATTATAAATACATCTTTCAAGAGGATCAAATAAACACAAAGACTGATTTTTTAAATGCCCAAGTCAAAATATGCTGTGTGTACCTTTACATCACTCTAAATTGGGGCAAGAAAGCAAGAATGAAACTTGGCTCTCTGATGTAAACCTTAATGGAAGAAGACCCCCAAGTTTCATCCTTTTTCAAAACTCTGCAGAGTTGTTATAAATACATTTTTTAAAAATCCACAATAGTGCCTTTTGTAGTTTAAAAATAGGATTTAAAAAATGAGCTGCACTCCTGTTATTTAAAAAAAAAAAGTTCATTTCCTCAATCTCTGGCACCTGTGACCAGCATGAGGAGGAAGCCATGCATGCTGGGAGGCGTTCCCAAGGCCCAGGCAGGGGAGTAGGGTGGGGGAGGGGGGGTAGGACAGTGACAGTGCCCAGTGCCATCAGCGTGTGTGCTCGGCCCCCTACATCCTGAGGCCAGGAAACTGAAGTAAGAGGCCAAGATGGGCCTGAGACTGAAGAAGGAAAATGCTTTCACTAGCTACTATTCAGCTAGAAATTCTAGAGGCAATACTGAGAAGCCACTGAAGCCTCCACTGGAGGCCATCCCTGCCCATTCACAAAATGCAGCCAGGCGCGTGGCCAGGAGTCACAGGAAGTCTCTTGGATGACTGGCTGTGGTAGGAGCTGAAGAGCAAAGCTCTAGGATTTGGGAAAAATAACTGATGTTTTTCATACCGCAGCTCTATGCAGCGATTCCCAGTGTAGACACACTCTCCTGAGTAGACAGGATCAATACAGCTTGGGGAGGAACTGGCTGTTAAATCCATAGATGGAAAGCAGGTAGATCATTCATCCTCTCCTGTCCGGATGATACGCGGCGGTTCAAGCTTTTCAGATTGTTTGACAGGTTGTAGTCATTCTTGTCGTTGCTTTAAATACTGGAAAGTGATTACTGACAGTGATTCATAAAAGCACAAGTTCTGGCTACATTTTTCACATGTGCTTTTTTTTTTTTTTCTGGTACCCAGGAGATAAATCATCTTGGTGTTTTCTTGTAGGAGCCAAGAACCAAGTCAGGGTTGGCTTAAAGAGGATTTCCCTGAACAGAAGGCTGTGTATTAATAAGCAGGAGACGGCCACGAGGCTTTCAAGATAATGCCAAATCTTCAGTAGCAGATTGCATGGCAGGCGGGCGGGCGGGCGCGAGAGAGCAGAGTCTACTCGTCAGTAGTGCATTTGTCCGTCATCTGCTGGCAGAACTCGGAGATGGCGCCACTCTGCCGCCCCTGCTCCCCTAGCTGCTGCTCCCGGGGGTCCACGGAGCTGGGGGGGGCCTCGCAGACACCCCGCTCACAGCTGGCCACCCCACTTCCCCGTCCGCTGGAAGGCAGCACTGAAGACACATGGGCTAAATTGAAAATGGACGGGAGTGTCAGTTCACCTTCAGTGGCACTTTTTCCTTTTTCTGAAAGTAAGAAGGAAAGGGGGCAATCTGAAGCTGAGTACTTGGCGAGTATCTGGATTTGCTCTTGACTCAAGGCAGCTTCTTTACAGACTTGCTGGCAAAGTCCAGTTAGGTTCTGCTTTGTTTCCCCCAGAGTGGACAAAATGTGATCTCGCTCCTTCAGCAAACTCTCCTTTTCATTTTGCTGTGAGGAGAGAGAGAACATGATGACTGGTGTTAATTTAGTGCAATCAATGTGTAGGAGATGATCAACATTCAGTATCTTGGGTGCGATCTCATTAGATGAGAGTGTGTGGCATTCTCCAAAATATAGGGAAACTACCAAAGGTCCAAAACTCTTACAATCCAGACGTTCCCACTTTAGAAAGCTAGTTCTGGTAAACACGCAAATCTTCCAGCAGGTCTGGGGCCAAGCCTCCACTCTGAAACATTGCACACTCCGTGGGAAACACTGAATATCAAATATGCAAAGTAGGAAAGGAAACTATATAGTCACTTTAGGGGACAACCTGGCAATTTTCCAGAGTCTAGATTTACAGATTGCAGAGAAATGAGTATGAACTAGACATGTGGGGTGGATTACAAAAAAAAAAGTTACAACAGTACACATAGCTTAATTACTGAGACTCACTCTGTTGCTAGATTTAATTAAGGCCACTTTCAAGGCCCAGTACCACGACTTGAATTCAGGGCCTCCAAGGGCTGAAGCCACACACACCCAGCCTGTCTGGCTTAAGATTATCTTTCCGATAGGGTCTGCAGTCCTCCTGTCTCCACGAAGATCACAAAGATGTGACGACTACTTTTCTGGAGCAGTTACTTTGTGCCAGCTCTGAACTAAATGTTTTCAATATGTCATCTCAGTTTTATAATCTACACAATGACTGTTGATCTACGTCAGATTAAACCCACAGAACAGAATGAAGAATTTAACATGTTCAGAGATTACAAAGCTAGTAAATAAGTTAGTAAAACTATGAAGAATGTGAGGTTAGCCCGGTTTTTATTTTTTTATTACTCCAACTTAATGATGTTGCCCCTTTAAGAAAGCCTACCTCAGAATTTTTCCCCAAAGTTGTCCCGATCCTTCTCTTCCTCCCCTGTCACACATCACAGCTAAGGGTGCGCTGGCTTCTTGCCTCGCCTGCCCCATCCTTCCAGTTCTACTGTTTCATTGCTCCCAACCTACCATGAGCTAGGAAGCTTAATAAGCTGTTTATAAGGTTAAGAGTTAATAAATGCTGATAGGAAGCCCAAGGCTTCTGTTTGTTCTCTTGCTTTCTGCTTGCTAACAGGTCAAGGTTACATTGAAAAGGATTATTTCACAGAGCTAATCTCTGTCAGGCTTTTAGACTCTCTTCTTGGCATCAAAGTAGCTAAAAAGTAATATGAACTTTGATCTGTACAAATGCTGTTATAATCTTATAAAAATATTTCTACAAAATTAGGTGATAATCTAATGTTTGGTGGCTTTCTGGATTATTTTTAGGCCAGATAACAACTTGAGGAGATACACAATAAATAGTTTATTTTATCATGTATACAATATAGGCTTTTATTGCAAAGTGTTTCTCAGATTTGTTTAGGTTTCTAGAAAAATCATTCTGTTCTAAACAGTAATAAGTACAGGTCAAGAATGAACACATATGTATGTAGGATGTGTGTGTGTGTGTGTGTGTGTGTGTAGACCCACAATCATTGTTCAGTCTATATGTTTGTTCTGACACAGAGTTTGTCAGTAACAGTCTTCAGATGCACTAGACTAGATCCACAGGCTCCCAGTGGACAAGACTAGTAACTGCTGTTACCTCCTAGGTATACATTAATATGATGTGTGCCCTTTCTTTTCTGTGGACTCTCAGAAACCAATCCAAATGAAGATGCAAAAAAAGCTCCCAGGAGAAAGTGGAAAGGCCCTTCCTTCAGTCACAGCAATATTCAATCATGAATTCTGGTACCATAGTTGAAAGAATCTCTTCTAAATAGCCTTTGACAAAATGTCAACTGCTGGTTGGTCTCTTAAATTAAATATGAATAAGGAAAATAATGAATATTTTATTTCTTGCAAATCGCTTACAGATGGTATGAGGACTAGAAATACTTTGTAATTTCTGCTCTTCATGTAAATATGCATGATCAGCAGACAGTCCTACTCCACCCACCCCATACTACATGAGGGATGACTTCATTCTTTAAGGAGATTTGCTTCTTCACAATAACTGAAACAAACAAACAGCCAAGGTTCCCCACCACACCACTTCCACACATTCAAATGCTCCCACCTGCTCCTCTACACTGCAAGCTGACTCCAGCTGACTCCTACAGGGCCAAGGTTCTGAGCAGTTAGCTGATTGCTATTTCCATTTCACTCTATTTTTCTTGTTTTTGATGCTGGTCCTGGGACCTGAACTCAAAACCTGGGCATTGCTCCTGAGCTTTTGTACTCAAGGCTAGCATTCTACCACTTGAGACCACTTCTGGCTTTTTGGTGGGAGAATAGTCATCTTATTGGTTTTGAGCTGCAATCCTCAGATTGCAGCCTCCTCAGTAGATAGGATTACAGGCATGAGCCACTGGTACCCAGCCATTTTACAAATTTACTATGGTAGTACTCAGAGAAACAGCTATTCTGCACTTCATGACAACAAAAATACTCTACAGCCCTCCTTTGAATAGCTGGCATATGATATTCATTCAAATGTAAGGTTGTTCTTTTTTTAAAATTTAAATTGTTTTTTAAAATTTAAATATGACTCAGCCAATAAAGATAGTAGCCCACAGATCTAGGACCAAAAGAGCTAGGTAAGAAGCCTGTTTGTTTTTTGTTTGTTTTTTGTTGTTGTTGTTTTTAATGGCAATTTTAAATGCTAGTTTTTACTTACTGGTAATTGTGCAAAAACACCAATTTAAAACTGCACAGTAAAACAGTCATGTAAATCAAAAATTAAGCAGTAAATATGGAATAAATTTTAAGCCAAGAACCATGTTCCTTCAAAACTAATATCACAGAATACAACCCCAATCATTTAATTAAAATAAATCCGGAGAACTCTCTCAGTTAGTATTTAGTACCTAGAATCAAAGGCTTTCTCTGCCTTGATACTTTACTTTCCAGGAAAGTGTAAATAATTCTAATTTTGAGCAGTTTACTAAGCTCAAAATAACAAAGGAAATAATTGGTATAATTTATTCCATTTTTCAACTGGCATCATCAACTAATACAATGTTAACAAGCTCTCTGCTAGAAAATGGTCACTCAAGAAACAGTTCAGAGAAATCTACAAGTGGTCATTGCAAACAAAAATCACTCAATTTTACTCATAAAAGATAAAATGAAGCTACCAGGAGAAACCACTTCTCATTATGAGACTGAGTAAAATCCAGAGGTGGACAGTAACTTTTGGCAATGAACAAAGACGGGCTCACTGCTGGAGGGAAGGCAAAGCAGTTCCCCGCTCTTGACGGGTCCATTAGTATTTCACAGCCTTACACCGGTGCTTGTCACACATCCAACAATCCAATTTTAAACCTCTCTCTCTCTGTGCATCACACTACCCAAGGAAACAGTATGAAAAAAGAAGAGCCAGTAAGAGACTGGACTGACCACTGCATGACAGAGCAGGAGACCACGGGGGAAACTGGTCCCCACAAACTTCTGAAGAATAAGTGTGCACTCAGTGTATATAAAATACTTCACATGGCAGCAAGGGAACTCTGTGTACACACAAAATCTCAACTTGTTTCTAGGAAGCCAAATTCAGAGACAAATGTGCACTTCCAGCTTAGTATATGTAAAAATTAAATAGAAGGAGTAAATACACAGAGAAATAAACTAAAAAGGTGTCAGACCAATTTAAATTAAAAGAATAAGCTTAATGCCAAACGCTGGTGGATCACACCTGTAATCCTAGTTAGTCAGGAGGCTGAGGTCTGAGGATCACAGTGCCAAGCCGGCCTGGGCAGGAAAGTCTGAGAGACTCTTATCTCCAAGTAATCCTCAAAAAGTGGAAGGTGGCACTGTGGTTCAAGCAGTAGAATACCTTGAGCAAAAGAAGCTCAGAGACAGGCCTGAGGCCCTGAGTTCAAGCCCCAGGACAAAAAAGAAAGTAGAGAGGTTTGGAGAAATGGGCAAGTCCAAATCTTGGGAGAAAATAATCAAAGATAAGCCACAGGGTAATGTGCTAGATGGCATAGAAACTCTAACATGGTCTGTCAAAAAGAAAGCGAGGGCTACAAGGGGTCCCCCTAGCCAAAAGGGTTTTGGAGGCAAAATCGAACAGACTAATGACTACTATTAATTATAAGAAATGGATTGAGGCAAGCACTGGTTGCTCATACCTGTAATCTTAGCTATTCAGGAGGCTGAGATATAAGGATCACAGTTCAAAGCTAGCCTGGGCAGAAAAGTCCCTGTGAGACTCTTATCTCCAATTAACCACTCAAAAAACAAAAGTGGTGCTGTGGCTCTAGCCTTGAGCACAAAAAGCCTCAGGGACAGCACCTGGGCCCAGAGTTCAAGTCCCAAAACTGCCGGAAGGAAGTGAAGGAGGGAGGGAAGGAGGGAGGGAGGGAGGGAGAGAAAGGAAGGAAGGAAGGAAGGAAGGAAGGAGGAAAGAAAGAAGGAAAGAGAAAGAAAGGGATTAGAAAAAAATTATCCAGGAGTCAACAGGGCAGTAAATGGAAAAGTAAAAAAGGGGGGACACAATAACAAAGATAAAAAGAGGAATTCAAGAACAAAGATAAATGACGTGAAAGAATTAGAAAAATCATTATTCTATAACCCTCATTATTCTATAATCCTCATTCATGCAAGCTAATAAGAGGTGGAAAGCCAGATTTTCACAAAGTATCTGAGAAACAATTCACAGCTCGCTGAGCAATGAGAAGAGCAAACAAATAACTGAAGAAACCTGGCAGGTCCCACCCCTGCCTGGAGACCCTGTGACACCATATGTCCCTGGTGACATCACATGAAGGACAGAACACCAAGGAATTCAGATAACTCAATTCAGGTAACTCAAACAGCTCCACCATCCATAGAATTAGAGGATGGAGGAACGAGCTAAAGTCATGCAGAAGCAATCGGACAATGCTAAAAATAAGACAAAAATCTGATCTAGGGTCTTTCAAAACTATTACCATTTTAAAAATCGGGAAGGGGTAGGGAGGAGTTAGGGAGGGAAAAATTGGGAGAAAATGAGGGAAGAAGTTAACACTGTTCAAAAAGTAATGTACTCATTACCTGATCTGTGTAACTGCAATCCCTCTGTACATCACCTTTACAATAAAAATTGATTAAAAAAACTGATTTAAGAGGGCTGGGAAGGTGGCTCAGTGGTAGAGTGCTTGCCTTGCACGCATGGGACCCTCAGTTCGATTCCTCAGCACCACATAAGCAGAAAAAGCAGAAAATGGCACTGTAGCTCAAGTGGTAGAGCACTAGCCTTGAGCTGAAGAGTTGAGGGACAGTGTCCAGGCTTAAGAGTTCAGGCCCCATGACCCATCAAAAAAAAATTGATTTTAAACTGACAAAGCATTAATTATGTGATGCTTGGATTTTAATGTGGAAAAAATAAAACAGTTATCTTTATTTAGGATAACTTAAATAAGGACTTTATCCTTAGTTTATATAATACCAAGCATTTGTACATTTCCTCAAACATGATAAAAATTTTATGCATAGGTATGAATGTCTATTTTCAGAAAATGCACACTTAAGCATTCAGGGATGAAGTATCATAATGTGGTAGTTTTCAAACAGTTCCTGAAATAAAAATGAAAGAAAGAGTCAGAGAAGACAGACAGCAAGTGGCAGAACAAGACTGACAGTGAGACACATCGGGCTTCTGTTTTCACCAAAATAGCCGAGAAACCAATTACCTTGTGATGGAAAGCCACAAGCAAGTGTTCTGTTGGCTTTTATTAAAGTGAGAGAGGCAGAATTTTCAGTTTAGGCAGAGACACTAGGAAGGAAGCCAGCAGAGGGAGAAAAATCTCAACAAAAATTAATAATATGGTTATAAGAAATGCATAGTAAAAGGTGTGCACTGGTGGGTCATAATTATAATCCTAGCTATTCAGGAGGCTGAGGTCTGAGGATCCTGGTTCAAAGCCAGCCAGGGCAGGAAAGTCTGTGAGACTCTCACCTCCAATCAACTACCAGAAAACCAGAAGTGGAGCTATGGCTCAATGTGCTCAATGTAGCATTGAGCAAAAGATCTCAAAGACAGCACCCAGACCCTGAGTTCAAGCACCACAGCCAAAAGAAAAAGGAAGAGAGGAAGAGAGAGGAGGGGAGGGGAGGAGAGATGCATGGTATTTGCTATTTTAAGTTCTTTAGACATATGAACTCATTTATTCTTCCTAAATGAGCACCCTGTCTGTAAGGAAGGAAACATCGTCCACTTACAGATGAGAAATCAAGTAGCCATTCCAAAGGGACTCTGTGCCCCATCCCAAAAATTCCACACGTTTAACCATGCCAACTTCCACCTTTTCTCTTTAGCAAAGGTAGCAAAGCCTTTTCATCCTAGATGTACACATGAAATTTATGAACTATACCCAAGCAATCTTATGTCTACCTTCAATCAAGAAACATAAATGAGCCTTGGAACTAGGGAATATAGTAATGGTAAGAGATAATACAAGTAGAGCTGTGGCTCAAATGAGAGTGCCAGCCTCAAGCTGGAGAGTGAAGTCCTGAGTTCAAGCCCTGGTACCAGCGTATGAGAGAGAGAAAGAGAGAGAGAGAGAGAGAGAGAGAGGAAAAGAGAGAGGGAGAGAGGGAGGAAGAGAGAGAGGGGGGAAGCAGAAGAGGAAGAGGAAGAGAGAAGAGAGAAGATAATAGTTATTCTCAAATAGAACCACATAGAATTCATGTATAAAATGGAACAAAACTGGATGTTCTTCTTTTTTTTTTTAAGAAGAGTAAGAGACACAGATATATTGTACTGACAACTATAAACTGTATCTAGGAAAATCAAGGGAATATAAGAAGTTGAACTCAGCACAACTTCAAACTGCTCCATGCAACACAGCAGCAGGCACGCACGTGTGTGCTACAACACAAGCTCTGAATGTCTATGTCATGCTAGGCCCCATCTAAAGGCGGTGTGAAGGTGCCAGAGTGACAGTGTGCATTACAACATGGCTACCACATCTTCTTTGATCCTAACTTCAATTCCTCAGTATTATCAGATCGATTTTTTTTTTGTTTTTCTGCCAGCATGTGGGCTTGAACTCAAGACCTGAGTGCCGTCCCTTAGCTTTTCTCCTCAAGGCTGGCACTCTGCCACTTGAGCCACAGCTCAACTTGTGGCTTTTTGGTGGTCCACTGGAGATAAGAATCTCATTCTTTCTTTCCCTGAGCTGGTTTTGAACTGTAATCCTCAGATCTCAGCCTCCTAAGAAGCTAGGATTACAGCTGTGAAACACAAGCTCAGATCAGCTTCCCTGAATCTCTCTCCTGCCTCCATCTTTTTGTTTGAGACTCCAACTTGGTACCTGATGCTTTCGCTCACTGGCTAGTGCTCTACCAATTGAGCCATGCCTCTACCCTCATCTTTCATCTTTTTCCTAACTGAACATACATGATATACATATATATATAATAAAATCTAAAACTTTTCTTGAAAGCTTTAGCTAAAGGGACACTTCTGAATTGTACTATATAACTGCCCCTCTCCTAGAATGTTTACAGCTGGAGACTCGTTACCATCACAACCTGAAGTCTGCACCACTAAGAAAGAAAGACACAAAGCTGAACCCTGGAGAATGTGTTCTCTGCTCCAAGGCTGTCCTGGGCTCCATGTGGACACTGCCCTGAGCTGGCTGTCCTATCACCGTTCTCTTCTAATACGACCTGCCTTCCTTTCACTAATCGTGAGGACAAGGAGAAAAGGGAGCAAATTAACTGACGTTTTAGTTCCTTCGGGTATTAATGGAAGGTACAGTAAGTGTTGATAAGCAAGCACTGTTCTCACTTGATCTCAGTCTATCCTCAAATTTTCTATTTAGACCACCATCATCTCAGACTTGTTTTTGTTTTTGTTTTTCCCTCAGAAGAAAGAAACTGGCTAGGTTGGTCTGTTTTTTTTTTTTTTTTTGGTACCCACCAAAAAATGCAATGCAAGTGTATTAAACTACTGAGCTAGAAATTTTAGCTTTTACAGATGCCAAATACATCATAGAGACAATAAATTTTTTTAATCAGGCTGTAGTGAACCACTAACAATTGGACAGTAAAAAGTCATTCTTAATTTGAAAATCTTTCTTTAAAAAAAACTACTCAGAAATACTTCTCGAGTTACCAATCATAGTGTATCACTTTAACAATGTAGAAGAGTCACAAGTGAAATAGCCCACGAAATCCTCACTTTCTTACTTGCTCATCTTCCTTGGAAATGTCATATCAAGTTTCTGAAGATTATAAATTTCACAAGAACATGAAACTGAGTGTTATGTCTTACCTAAGAATCTAGCAATTTCCACAAAAGAGGTTGGGGGCGGGGGACGGGGGAGGAGTCTCCTCCGCAAAGAAAGGAAGTGTTGGAATTCTAATGACCATGACAAGAAGAAAGCCCGGCGCTCACCAGCTTCTCGATCTCAGATTCGAGGTTCTGGATGCAGTCCAGCTTCCTCTTGCGGCAGCGCTGGGCAGCAATCCTGTTCTTACTCCTTCTGCGGATATCGTGAATGCAGTCCAGTTGTTCCGGGGTCAACTTGTGCATCTTCAGCAGGGACTGGAAGTCATTCCTCGAGAGGGAGATGATTCGCTGTGCGTTAAACGGAAGTTTTACCTGGAATGTGCAATAAACCTTAGTATTCATAGTGGTGTTTTGTGGTGATATTCTGGGAAGATAAAAATTATACATCTAGATATCTTAGAGATCTTAACGTGGGATTTCTAAAAGTAAAAAGAGGACTCAATTTTCCAACTGCCATATAGAGAGTACAAATTTCTATTTCTAGTCACCAAGAGAGAATTCGGAGACAAATTGAGAAGTAATTACTTTTTTTCATGCAACTAGACATATCCGTCCAAATATTAATGGGTTCAAAATGGAAAGATGGAATTTAAGTTATTTAATACCTCAGAGATTTAAGCTTCTTTCTAAAGTATTTTTAATATGCTCCTTCTTAACCCAAATGTAAGATCTATTTCATTCTCTGAATAGTGTTACTACATAGCACTGATTTAATAGGATATAATTATCCTAGAACCTTCTAAAGCATTTGGAAATTTTATTTTTGTGTCTCAAAAAAATGACAGTTTCATATTATTCATTTTAAAAACTATACTTCTTACTTGCCAGGTAGAAAAGGCTTGAGAAGTCATTTTTAACTTACTTAAATTTGAAAAGAGAAGACAACCTTTCTTTTTCAATAACAAAAATATTGGTCAGTCTGGCAGTATACTACACTTACCCTTCAAGACCACAGAAATTAGTCATGCAAAAAAGTCTAAAAATTTTACCATCTTATGGTACCTAATGTGAAATGCTTAAATGTCATATATATCTACACATACCACCCGTGTTATACATATGATTTTTTTTTTTTTTTTTTTGGTCAGTCCTGAGGCCTGAACTCTGGGCCTGGGCGCTGTCCCTCAGCTCTTTAGCTCAAGGTTAGCACTCTACCACTTGAGCCACAGCGCCACTTCCAGCTTTTTTTCTGCTTATGTGGTTCTGAGGATTGAACCCAGGGCCTCATGCATGCAAGGCAAGCACTCTACCACTGAGCCACCTTCCCAGCCCCCAATTTGCCTGCTTCCAAAGCCAAGAAAGTAGCATCCTCTTTCAAACTTATTGTAAAGGCCGCTCCAGGATGGCGAGCAGACTCCACCCTCCTCTCAGCAAAGTTTCCGCCCAGTACCTAGGCAACTGGCACCTGGAAGAGGTCATAGCTAAGTTCAAGTCTCAGAACTGGCAAAGAAAGAAAGAAAGAAAGAAAGAAAGAAAGAAAGAAAGAAAGAAAGAAAGAAAGAAAGAAAGAAAGAAAGAAAGAAAGAAAGAAAGAAAGAAAGAAAGAAAGAAAGAAAGAAAGAAAGAGAGAGAGAGAAAGAAAGAGAAAGAAAGAAAGAAAGAAAGAAAGGAAGGAAGGAAGGAAGGAAAGAAAGAGAAAGGAAGGAAAGAAAGAAGGAAGGAAGGAAGGAAGGAAGGAAGGTAGGTAGGAGAAAAGAGAAAAGGAGGGAAATTCTTTATTTGCTACAACATGGGCAAACTTGGAGGACATTATGCTAAGTAAAATAATCCAAATACTGGTGAGCCAAGCCCATATGATCTTTCCTCCTTTATGAGGTAAGTAAACTAGTTAAACCTACAGAACCTGGGTATGGGGGTATTTACTAGAAGGAAAGAAAGCAGATAGTTGTTGTTCAGTGGATATTTGCTAAAATATTGTGTAGTTAACAATACTGCATGATGCCCTTCAATTGTTACAGAGGTAGAACTCACGTCACCACAGTTTTATGAAAAGTCAATAAAATGCAAGAAAGGGGAAAATACAGGCTAGGACAAAATAATCCATAAAACAAAATTACAGCTGGGCATCGGTAGGCCATCCATGCCTGCAATCCTAGCTACTTGGGAGGCTTAGTTTATGAGGATCCACTGTTCAAGGCCACGCTGGGTTGAAAAGTTCACGTAAGTCTTTCTCAACAGAGAGCTGGAGTTGACCATGCCTGTTTCCCCTGTTCAGCAGGAAAAGTAACATAGATGGGTCACACCTAGACAGAAAGCTAGACTCCACCTCAACAACGAAACAGCAAAATCAGGGCTACAGGTACAGCTTGACAGTAAGACCTGCCTTGCAAATATCAGGACCCAACTAAAAATCAAAACATTAAATTATGTAACTGTGACTCCTCTGTACATCACCTTTACAATAAAAATTAAATAGCAAGCAAAATACGAATTCCAATGATAAAAGAAATTCAGTGTCTGAAAAACATGAACCCTGACTTCTGATTTTTTTTTTAAAGAAAGAACTGGCTCTGGTCACTACTAAATATTAACCTTTTACAAGGAGTAGCTGCTAGAGACATACCCGTGCACACTCAGGGTACACAGGTCAGCCTGGCAGGAATAACGGGACACCAGCCATCCGCGTGTTGGCTTCAAGCTAGCACAGGACATTCATTCAACCAGTGCCTGAGAAGGCTAAGGGGGATTTTAAACACCAACGAAAGACTTGACATCAGAAGCCACATTCCCACAGCCAGCAGCTGCGAAGCCTCGGTTCTGGAACCAGACCATGGGGGGGGGGGGGGGGGGTGTCCGAGGCCTGGGGCGGAGAGGCCGCGCGGCCCGAGCCTCCTGGGACCGACACCTCACAGCCCAGCCGCGTGCGCTCTCCCCCGAGCTTGGCCTGACTACCACTACTTGAAATGTTGGGACATCCACGTCTCTCCAACTCAGGTGGAAGAGAAAAACCAACGACAACAACGACAACACCGGGTTCCGGTGCCTCCCAGCTACTCGGGAGGCTGAGATCTGAGGATCGCGGTTCAAAGCCAGCCCGGGCTGGAAAGTCCGTGAGACTCTTATGTCCAATAAACCACCAGAAAACCGGAAGTGACCCTGTGGTTCAAGCGGTAGAGCGCTCGGCCTTGAGCTGAAGAGCACAGGGGCAGCGCCCAGGCCCGGAGTTCAAGCCCCACCTCCGACCAAAGCAAATAAATAAGAAGGCAGAAAATGAAAAAAGCTACCATGCCGGGCGCTCGCCCTCGGCATGTGTCCCGGTGTCCGGGTATCCCGGTGACCGGGTATCCCGGTGACCGGGTGTCCCTGTGACCAGGTATCCGAGTGTCCCGGTGACCGGGTGCCCAGGTGTCCGGGTGCCCCGGTGTCCCGGTGTCCCTGTGTCCCGGTGTCCGGGTGCCCCGGTGTCCCTGTGTCCCGGTGTCCGGGTGCCCCGGTGTCCCGGTGTCCCAGTGTCCCTGTGTCCAGGTGCCCCGGTGTCCCTGTGTCCCGGTGTCCGGGTGCCCCGGTGTCCCTGTGTCCCGGTGTCCCGGTGTACCGGTGTCACGGTGTCCAGGTGTCCCGGTGTCCGGGTGCCCCGGTGTCCCTGTGTCCCTGTGTCCAGGTGCCCCGGTGTCCCTGTGTCCCGGTGTCCGGGTGCCCCGGTGTCCCTGTGTCCCGGTGTCCCGGTGTACCGGTGTCACGGTGTCCGGGTGTCCCGGTGTCCGGGTGCTCCGGTGTCCCGGTGGCCCGGTGTCCCTGTGTCCCGGTGTCCGGGTGCCCCGGTGTCCCTGTGTCCCGGTGTCCCAGTGTCCCTGTGTCCCGGTGTCCGGGTGCTCCGGTGTCCCTGTGTCCCGGTGTCCGGGTGCTCCGGTGTCCCTGTGTCCCGGTGTCCGGGTGCCCCGGTGTCCCTGTGTCCCGGTGTCCCAGTGTCCCTGTGTCCCGGTGTCCGGGTGCTCCGGTGTCCCTGTGTCCCGGTGTCCGGGTGCTCTGGTGTCCCGGTGTCCCAGTGTCCCTGTGTCCCGGTGTCCGGGTGTCCCTGTGTCCCTGTGTCCCGGTGCTCCGGTGTCCCGGTGTCCCTGTGTCCCTGTGTCCCGGTGTCCCGGTGTACCGGTGTACCGGTGTCACGGTGTCCGGGTGCCCCGGTGTCCGGGTGCCCCGGTGTCCGGGTGCCCGGGTGCCCCGGTGTCCGGGTGCCCCGGTGTCCCCGTGCCCCGGTGTCCCCGTGCCTCGGTGTCCCCGTGCCCAGGCGTTCCGAGGACCCCCGCCGCGGCGCTCACCTCGCACTCCTGCTCTCTGGCCGAGCAGGACTCGCTGTCGCCCTCCGTGTCCGTCTCCGAGTCGTCGCCCAGGCTGATCACGCAGGCGTAGGGGCAGGGCTCCTGCTGGGGCTCGGACGCGTAGCCGTCGTTCCCCGCCTCCAAGCCGCCGGCGCAGCCCTCGGCACCCAGGGTGCTGATGAAGGGGCAGTGGACGGAGCTCAGCGTGGCGAAGGTCCGCGGGCCCGGCTCCGGGCTCTCGCTGATCCGGATGCCCAGCCAGGGGCACTCGGGGCGCTTCTGGGCGTGGCTGGGCTCGGGGCCCTCCCCGGCCGGCGCCGGGGACGGCCGCGTGTGGCCAGGCGGCTCCGGGGGGCACACGTCGCTCCAGAAGCCCTTGGCCAGGTGCTCGGCCACCTCCCGCTCCACGCTGCTGCGGTCGCCGGGCGCCAGGCCGCCCTCGTCCTGCGGGGCGCCCAGGTCCGGCTCCGGGTAGGGTTCCTGCGGGTCGCGGTCCGCGCCCGCCCCAGGCGCCTCTGCCTTCACCGCGGGGCCCTGCGGGCCGGCGAAGTTCGAGTCGCAGGGTGGGTCGTACGGGGGGTGCAGGAGGGACAGGGCGAAGAGCCCGGGCGCCCCCTCCGCCGGGCCGTCGCTCCCGGCCGCGGGGCCGCCGCGGGGGAGGGCGGCCCCCTGCGCATGCGCGGGCTCCGCGGCGGGCGTCCGCCCATCCGGGGCCGCCGCCCGCGGGCACCCGTTCTCGGGCAGCTCGTTTGGCTGACCGGCGCCGGCTTCCACCACCCGGCCTCGGTCCGTTCCGAAGGCTTTCTGGAATTTTCTGTACTTAGGGCATAAGGACGGCAGGCCCGGGGCGGCCGCGGCGTCCTGGTCCGGGCACGGGGATTCGAAGGCGTGGCCGGCGCCGTCCTCCGCGCTCCCGGGGCACCTCTGGAGTGCGCACGGCGGGGTCTGGGCACTGTTCGTCTCCAGGAGTTCGTGGCCGTCGTCAGCAGCCAGGTCTTTGGGGTCGGTGTGGGGGTCGTGCGGTGCGCAGCCGGGGCTGGGCGGGCTCGGGGGCCGCTGGGCGGCGTTGGCGGGGGCGGAGGCGGCGTGGGGGGCGGCGGAGGCGGAGGCGGAGGCGGCGGCGGCCGAGTCCATGAACTTGAACCTGAGGAACTGGAAGCAGGACTCCTCCACGTCGTGCACGCGGAGCAGAGCCACGCACCTGCAGACCTCCTCCACGTTGTCCCCGCTCAGGACCAGCTTGGCCGTGTAGGCGAACTGGATCAGGGGTTCAAAGCCCTTGACCGTCACCTGGGAACGCACAGGACAAGGACAGACCTGTGAGGGGGAAGGGCGGCCATTCCTTGGTGCAATAACAACACTAACAGGAATAACAACAGCGGAGACCTTGGGTTTCCGTGCAGCCGCATGTGACCGTCCGTGGACGGCTTGCAGTCACCCTCGGGGTCCTCCTGCCTCCCTCCTAGGATGCTGTCAGGATGGGATTCGAGGTCCACCGCCCAGTGACTAAAGCTAAGGTTCCGGGAGGTGACGAGCCAGCGCCGGGCCGCGTGCCCAGACCGAGATGATAAACCAGAGTCCGGCGCCTGTGTGTAGCTGTCGGTCCCGGGGCTTGAACCCGGGGCCTCGGCGCCGTCCCCGAGCTCTTCAGCTCGAGGCCAGCGCCTGAGTGGTTTCTTGGCGATCAGGGGCTCACGGCCTTTCCTGCCCGGGCTGGCTTTGAACCGCGATCCTCAGAGCCCTCCGCCCTCCCGAGTGGCCTGGAACCCCCACGGGCGCCAGGGGTGGGCGGAGGGGCGCTCACCTCCTCGGGCAGCGTGATGCTCAGCTCGGCCTCGGCGTGGCCCACGACCCGCGCGTGGAAGTAGCTGCTGCAGGCCGCCAGCACGGCGCGGTGCGCGCGGAAGCGCCGGCCCTGCACCAGCACCGTGAGGTCGCACAGCACGTCCTTCTGGCGCTGCTCGTTGAGGCCGAGCAGCACGTGGGTGCTGTGCACCGACGACTCGTAGGCGAACACCGCGCTCTCGCTCACCGACATCCTGCACGACACACGGCCTTGGGACGGGCAGCGAGGTGCATGCTTCAACCGTCATTCGCCTGCAAGACACCGCGGGGGGTGGGGGGGAAGGGGCTGTAGTCTTGTCATTCGCCTGCAAGACACCGCGGGGGGTGGGGGGGAAGGGGCTGTAGTCTTGCTTTCAAGGGTGCAGGAGACATTGCAACCAAGCACCAGCACCACGGCCTCCAGAGACGCCACTGGGGTCCTATGTGTGCACGTGCTGGCTCTGGGGCTTGAGCTCAGGGCCCTGCACTGTCCCCGGCACCCACCCAGGTCAAAGCTTGTGCCCTGCCACCCCTCCACTTCCAGCTTTTTGCTGGGTAAGCAGTGTTTCATGAATGTGTTCCTGCCCAGACTGGCTTCAGTCCTCAGCCTCCTGAAAAGCTAGGCTTAGAGGCTTTTTTTAACCCCCCCCCCCCCAGTATTATGCCTGTGGGGTTACCATATATTGGGGTTTTTTGTTTTTTGTCGGCTATGGGGCTTGAACTCAGGGCTGGGGCACTGTCCCTGAGCTCTTTGAACTGGGCTGGCTTTGAACCAAACTGATTCTCAGATCTCAGCCTCTTGAGTAGCTCAAATTACAGGCAATGAGCCACCAGTGCCCAACTGGTATGTATTTTTTGGCTAAACATTTCTGATAACTCCTATGTTTCAACAGTTTGAGAAAGCAAGAGTTTGCCTGTGTGATGAATGATAAAGGGTGTTTTGATGACGAGGCAGTTTTGCTTGTGGCCTGTCTCTATAGCGTGGTCAGCCCTGGTGTGTAGAAAGGCTCGTGACTGCTAAGCAAGTGTGTGCTTGTTTCTTCTGTATTGCAGGAACTTGGGACTGAGATGTAGCTCACTGGCAAAGCACTTGCCTAGCAAAGGAAATGTCCTGGGTTTGATTCTCAGTACCAAATAGGAAAAAAAAAAAAAAAAAACAGCTAAAAAAAAAATAGGAAGTTGACTGTGCAGAACTGCGCTCCAGAGTAAAGCAGTAAACTTCCTGTCAGTTGTTGGGAGTAGGAATGGAGGGTGTGGGTGGCCATAAACTCAGCAAAGGAGCAAATGTCACTGCAGAGGGATCTGCTCCATTCCACACGAAAGTGAAAGGAGAAAGGAGGTAATGAAAGTTCTGGAAGACCAGTCTCTGATCAGGCTGAGTCAAAACACATGAAATCCATCTAGTTTACTTACTACTTACTTTTAATGTGTGTGTGTGTGTGTCCTGAGGCTTGAACTAAGTGCTTGGGCACTGTTCCTGAGCTTTTTTGTGCTCTACCACTTGAGCCACAGTGCCACTTCTGGCATGTCAGTAGTTTATTGAAGGTAAGAGGCTCACAACTTTCCTGCCCAGGCTGCTTCAAACCACAATCCTCAGATCTCAAGCTCCTGAGCAGCCGAGATTACAGGTGTCAGCCACTGTCACCAACACGACCTATTTTTAAAGATCTCAAAACAGCTGAAATATTAAGCTCTTCCAAAGCAGGCCATGAGAACACACTCTCTCCCTGGGTGGTGAACTTGCCCTCAGGTGAATTGGTCTGCACACATCTTCCACTGGTTCTGCATGCCACATGACATCATAGGTCACTTCAAAAAAACGTTTATTATGTTTTTAAGTATTTGTACAACAAAGGGGTAGTTACTTCAAAATTAAATACGAGAATGAATACAACATCTTGAGTTGTGTGTACTCTTACAAAGCAAGAATAAGGTCCTTTTTGAGATTCCCTCTCACTTTTAACTTGTCAGCCAAAGGAATGCCTGTTAGGAATAGGAGAGGCACCTTCACTAAAAGAAATACCCCCAGCCCCACCCCATCTTCTGCAGGAAGAACCATAGGCCCATCTTCTCCAGGGTGCTCAACCACAAGGGTCTTAGTCCCCAAGCCTCCTTATGCTTTCCTGGCATTGGCTTGGAAATCCTTCAAAGCATGCTAGTTTTGTGTTAAAGGCTGCCACTGCTGGAACTGTCACAGGCAGGAAGAGCCATGCAAGCATGCAGAGCAGGATGGCTCAACGTGTATGGCAAGGCACCCAAGCCAGGCTCGGACTGCCAAGTTCCACGCCAGTCCTGTGGCCTCTCTCTGCACAGGTCTTCTGTCTGCACTGCCACAGTGCTGACCTATACCACCATCAATCAGCCCCTGCCTGCAGACACGCTCTTTGACCTTTGCAATGGTTGCATTCACACATGTACAAATATGTTTATCAAATGCATTCCACACATCATTATTTAGCCTTACGACGTGAAAAGTTCTCTGGGTATTTTCTACTCTATTAAAAAAAAAATAATTGACCCTATCCCCACCTCCAAACAGTGTGATTCAGTTACTATTTTCTATCACTTGGCCTGTTTGTTTCTGGATTTTGTTTGGTTTGTCTGTTTTGCTTATATCAGACAATGCTTGAGTTAAATTTAATTTGGCCAAGGAAAGGTTAATGAGATGGACCCCAGAAGCTCAGAATCCTGCCTTCCTGTGTCATTTGCTTTGGATACCTGTGTCCTCACCAGGACAGGAGAATAACAGAATGGGGGTGTGGCCAGTCCATCTCCAAGTGATGGCCAGTTGAAGACAGGGGGCGGGTCTAACAGAATCACTTCGCAGCCTGCATTCCTCAAAAGCGCTGGTTTAGCTCCGTGCTGGTGTCTCACGCCTGTAATCCTAACTACTCAGGAGGCTGTGATCTAAGGATCATGTTTAAAGCCAGCCTGGGCTGGGAAGTCCAGGAGAATTATCTTCAATTAACCACCAAAAACAAAAGCTGGAAGTGGAACTACGGCACAAGTGGTAGAACATTAGCCTTGAACATAAAAAGCTCAGAAACAGCACCAAGGTCCTGAGTTCAAGCTCCAAGACCAGCGCATGTGTGTGCACGCGCGCACACACACAGCACTGGATTGATTTGAAAGAAAATTACCTGGTATTGCTTTGTTACGAAAAAGAAAAAAATCCCGGTCATGATCCACTCAACGGTTAGAGCAGTCACCATCCACCACCATTGAACACAGGTGTGGCGGATCCACGGATTCAGGTTTGGAACCTGTACTGTCTGGGTTCACATCTCAGCTCTGCCATTTCCTTGGCCAAGCCCGTCAGCCCCACTGCGGGTTCCCGCACACAGGTGCAGCAAAACCGCCGCACAGGCATGGTGTGAAGCTGACAGGATGAGGGAGAAGGGCACAGCACAGTGTCCAGCCCATGGCAAGCAAACACCAAACAGGAGCTGCTACTTCCTACGGTGACAATATTCACCAAAGCCTTCCACCTGGCAGGCGCTCTCAGATCTCCAAATGACTGGCTCCCTATGCAAGTCATTTCTCTGATCAACTTTTCATCTATTTACTCTAGACTCCTCTCATCTGTCTCCCTCGCTTGCTACTCTCTGGCCCCACCATCTCTTCCTCCCTGCCCCTGGCCAACACACTTCCTACAGATCTCAGGGCCTTTGCACACACTCTGCCCTGCTGCCTGGACTTCTCCCCAGCTGAAGCTGGCTAGCTAACTCCTCACCTTTTTAGGTCCTTGGCATACATGTTCCAGTCTTGTGTGGCTTGTTCCCTGCCAGAATCCAAGTAAAACAGAGTACTTGGCCCAGTTCCAGGCACTTGTGCTGAATGAATGACTACAAAGCCAGATCGTCGAGATCTTCCAAACACACAGTCCAGTTGGTTACTCCAATATAAACGGAAATGCCACAGAGCCAAGCATGCAGAAAGAAGCTTGTGAATGACTTTTTCAGGACTACAGAGGGCACATGGGAGCCTGGCCCACTTCTTTGGGCGCTACACACATTCCTACAAGACAACTGGCCAAAGACCCAGTGCTGGCTGCTACACACTGAGCAGGCACAAAGGCCACACAGGAAGGAAAGCATCTGGCCTTACTGCCCAGCACTAGGCAACACCTAAATTCTAAGGTGTTCCGGCTGGGCACTGGTAACTCATGCCTGCAATCCTAGCTACTCAGAAGGCTGAGATCCGAGGATCGAGGTTCGAAGCCAAACAGAACAGGAAAGTGTGAGACTATTACACCCAAAAAGGCAGAAGTGGAGCTGTGGTTCAAGTGGTAGCAAAAAAAAAAGCAGCTCAGGGACAGCGCTCAGGCCCTCAGGGACAGCGCTCAGGCCCTGAGTTCAAACCCTAGGATGGGCACCAAAAATTAAATAAATAAAAAGAGAAAAGGAAAATGTTCTAAAACCCCATTTTCCTAGTTATTGAAGTGAGGTGGCTATAAGGAGCCCATTTTCACCCACTAACCTAATTAAGAGATGACCACACAGTTCCTACCACCAGCAATATGGCACCAAGACACCACTCAGCCCTGAAAAGTAGAACAAAACACCCCAGCCCTCTACACCTAAAACTGCTTTTGACTCAGGAATGTCAAGATTAGCTTCTTTGTTACACCTGATTCTCCCCCCTTTATTGTTAAGTGTTCGTACTGTTATTATACTTCAAAAGGAAAGTGTGGTGCCCAGGCCAGATAGCATTCACCAATGCGTTTTTAGGTCTCCCTGCCTGAATTTGGAAATAATGTCAGCTATTTTTTCTTTCTCTCTTTTTTTAAGTATTATAGATTGAACTCGGGATCTTTGGCTCACTAGGTGAGTGCTCTGCCACTTAACCATAACTCTACCACCTTTTTTTCTTTAAGTTTGTTTTGAATAGGATCTTGTACTTCTGCCTGGCATTTGAGGAGCTGGGATTACAGGAGCTTACTACCACACTAGGCCCTGCTAAGTATATTGGCCTTTATAAAAAGGTAGTGTCTTAGAGATAGGAAGCCTGGTTAACTCCTCAGAAGCTGCCTTCCTCTCCTTCTACTGTCAGTGCATTTCTGTGACTTTCTTCTGGATACTGAAGTCAGCACCCTGTCTGCTACTCCTGCATCACCCTGACAGAGGGCGGCGTCTTTAAAGGCACAAAACTCAGGCAAATTCCTCTCATCACATTTTCCCTTAGTTCTCACCAAAGTTTCAAATCCTCTAAGTCACTTCCTGTTACAACACATTCAAGATACCCAGAATTTGAGTGTTCTTCTGAAATTAGTG